GATTATGGGTCAGCTTTACATTTTTACTGAATAATCGTATCTCATTACCCGTGCAGTCTTTGTTCGTACAAAGAACTATGACCTACTTACAGGAGTATTACTCGCTCTCACAGGAAGTGAAGCCATGTTTGCCAAGTATGTCTACTTGATATGATTCTTTCAAAATATGATTCACCGGCAATCACCTCTAGCCTCGGCCAATTCAACAAGTGTTCTATCCGGGTTAGTGTGTTTCTCAATCTCCACTTAGCGCATGCTCGTGACATCACAGAATCCAGCTATCCTTCAGTCTCTTCGTGTACCCGTGTCTCTTGCTCGCCTACCTCGGTCAAGGCGCACGGCTGATTGTCGACGGGGAGGCCGTGCTCTCCAATATTTTCTATAGAACAATTCCAGGACCGGTCAACGGGCCGCTTTTCTGGTGCGCCGTATAACATCCATACATAACGTCCCCACTCAGCATACCTCAGGATTATCTACGTCTTTGCTATCCTAGCAACAGTAGGCATTGGTCTCAGCGTCGTATTCTGCCGCTGACATTTGTGTAGCTCATCGCTTCGCAGTCGTTGATCACTGCAACGTTCAGCCTCGTTGAACAGCTCGTCAACATGCACGTACTGCCTCAGTTAGTGTCAGATGGTGTATCTCGAAACGCACCTCATATGATCAATTGTGGGGCAGGCTGCACTTGAAATATACATCGGAGACTATCCAAGGCCAGGTCTACATCCCTGTTGTCAACTGGATCCGTGAGTGGGAATAAGTGTTGCTGTTAGGCCCCGTCCTGACCGCCGCGTAGTTATGGTCGCAGTGATTATCTTCGTCGTGGGCTTCAAGAGCTCTGTCGCATTGACGAACGCCTTCGGGTGCGCACCATTTCCTCATGTATCCTTCGTCTGCCTAAGATGGACCACTGCCCGCTGCCAGATTCGCTGTTGCAACCGTGATGTTTACGACCACTGTCCTGATCGCGCTACAGATGCGCTTCGTGAAGAGGCTGCCCGTCGTGATCGCAGCAGCCTACTTCGTCGTGTTCGGATTCCTCGACGGTAGGCGGTGCATGCATCGCATGACCGTGCTGTATGTTCATCGCAAAACATACATCTCTGATAGGGCTCTTCTGGGGCGCTGCGCTCAAGAAGGTGCCGAATGGCGCGTGGGTGCCTCTCATGCTTGGGTTGATCCTGTGAGTACTGTTAGAGTGGCGAGTGGCGCCGCTGATGCTCCGTCACAGCGTCATCTTCATGCTCTTCTGGACTTGGGCCAGGGTGCGTACAGGAATTGCCACAAGTTCGCGAGATCGCACCTGACGGCCGGCGCCAGGGCCTCGAGGACGACTTTGACGGCAGGAATCGCGTGAACCTGCGTCACTTTATTTTTTCGGAAAACAACAACGAAGTTGCGCGGCGCGTCAGCCGACCTGCTCATGAGTGCACTGAAGAGGAACTTGATCAACTTGATGATGCAGAAAAGGCACCGTCTTACTATATACTTGGCAGCTCGCACGACCTCGAAACCGCAGGACGGAAGATAGAAGTGCCACGCATCCCCACATGTGCCATCTTCCACAAATTGACAGTAGGCAAAGGCGTCCCGCATTCTTTTGCAGGTGAGCACCCTCATGGCCGACGTCAACGTATCTGAACGATCCGCGCAGGCTTCGTCCGTCAGTGGCCCTCCCTTCCCCGCGTTGTGGTGAGCAGATCGAACCGCGACGCGAGAACACTCCCAATCCTCTCCCGATAGGTGTTCTTAGCCGTCCGAGTCCTCCCAACGGCGCACGTCGACCCACACGACCGCTACGTCGTCACCAAAGTCCGCAGCATCCAAGGTAGGCCCGGCGCAGCGCCCGTCGCGCACACACGCTGAGGCGAGACAGGCTTCTACGGCGTCGCCTACCATCTCGGCTTCCGTGACGACTTTGACGTGCAGATCGGCGAGCTCGTGGACCGCATCTGCGCGCTGGAGACCCGCGCGGACCCGCACGGGTCCTCGGCGGCCGTCGACGAGATCAGACGTGCCGCCGCGCGGTATACACACGTGTGCGTGCGTTGCCGTGCCCGCGGGCCCGCACCCTGACCGTCCTCGAAGCGTTCCCCATTACCACGTCGTCAGCATGCAGGCCGACGTGGGGCGGCTGTCGGCCGTCGTCAATTGGGTACGGAAGCTCTTGATTGAGGATGTGTACCGTCCCCTCGGTGAGTGATGGTCATGGCCTCGCGCGGCATTTGTTGACTGGGCCCCGCGTTCGCAGTCACAATGTTTCCTGAAACAGAGAATTGGGTGGCATCTGGCGACGAGTAAGTCGTACAGCATCACGTTCGATCCGTCGGTTGATACTGTGGCTAGGATCATCCGTGTGGGCATCCACGCAGAGATCTGAATAGGGAAAGTGGATAATGCATAGCATCGAATGAGAGGTGTAGCAAGGCCAAACCGTATGAATGCAATTCCAATCGCGAGCACGTCATACCTGTGTATACCAATGTCATGATTTCCGACTCGAGAGCCGTCGTGCAGATCTGCAAGGTGCCGGACGACGACTCGTTGGGGTGTCGACGTAGGTCAGGCGCGAGAAGGCGAGCTTGTGTGGGCGGCTGCGCATTCTGCCGATAAGTTCAAGTGCACGGGAGCCAGCATCGAGAAGGTCGGCCTGGGCAAATTGTCTTGAGGCCTACAATGCTTTACCTATGCAGGGTAGCATGACAAGGAGATATTCGATGTAGGGAATCTGGACCCGGTGTAAATTGGTCGCCTGTGAGATTATCTCTGCCAGAGCATCGATTTGGGAGAGGTCGGTTTTATGAATGGAAAATTCTCGCAGGCGGCCTTCCTGAACGCTCCACTCTTCATTTGGAGGTCTCGAAGTCATCGCGCCCTAGTGGCCAGGTCGGCGCGCATGAACGCGCAAAACCGTGCGGTCTGTCGTCACTTCACTAGGACTACGCTCGCTAAAACGCGCTTTCCCGCAACCACAAAGGGTTGAATCTTCTTGGAGACCCCCAGAACTCTCCTCCGGTGAACCATGGTCGCTATGATGTTGGACGCTTACAGAACTGAAGGGCGATTGTCGAGGCAGAGTCGTTGTGGCCAGAAGAGCAGTACTTGCGGTCACGACAAAAACATAATCTGTGGCCAGTCATTACGCGCAGGACGTGAATTGATCACATACAATTATCTTACACGAATCCCTTGTCGCCAGAAAGCGCTATAGCCAGGGAACCCTAGACTCTGTACACAATCTTCTCAGCGCTCACCTTGCCCTCCCGCATGTACTGCAACCCGTCCTTCACAGCGCTCAGGCCTCCATCCCAAACCTTCACTTTGTTCGGGATGATCTTGCCTTCCGAGATAAGCTGAGGGACCTTTACGAGGAATGCCGCCATGTGTGCTTTGTCCTCGGGTGAGGCTGCGAATTTTGTGGGGCCAAAGTTGAAAGTCCGACCGAGCGACGTATAGATCAACGTAGCTGTCCCGATAACGGTGAGTTGTGAGAGGACGCGAAATAGCATGCAGGAGAACATACGGATGACTTGCACATCAGTCCGGGGATTCGCTTCAGGTCCCAAAACTATCACAACCTTTCCCCCACCTGGCGCGACAGCACGCACGGAAATTCCTTGCGTCGTTGCATCGCTGATGGTGTCGAATACAGAGCGGATTGAGTCACCGGTCACACTCTTGATCTTTTCCACAACATCGGGATCTTTGTAGTCGAAGACGGCGTCCGCCCCGAAAGACTTGACCAATTCAAAGTTGCGCGGCGAGGCCGTGCTAACAACCTTGTAGCCGGAGAGGTGTGCCAGTTGAACTGCATACTGGCCGACGGAGGCTGTAGACATTTCACGATGAGATGTAGCTATAGGGCACTCTGGGGACACACTTACAGCTACCGCCGTAGACAAATACCCACTCCTCCGTTCCGACCTTCGCAGGAGGCTCAACGAGGCCCAAGCGTGTCGGGTGGTAGAATGCCTGCACAGATGTCCAGAATCTGCAGTCCCAGGTTGCAATTAGCGTGCTTGTGCGGAAACACTCAAGGACGGATCACTTACGCGCATCCGAGCGATGCAGCCTGTTCGTGGCTGATGGTGTTCGCGGGGACGACCCACGAGAGTTCGGCAGGGGTACTGATATATTCGGCGTACGCGCCGTAATCTGTATAGGTTCCGCCCTGGACGAAGCCTGCGACATGGTCGCCGATCTTGCGCGATGTGACGTTCTTCCCAATCGCAGCGACGTATCCGGAGAAGTCGCATCCGAGGACTTTGCCTGGGTTTGTGAGGAAGTCTACAACTGTAGCACAGACGGTGATCATGTCAGCATCAGCAGGAAGAATCAGAAAAGGCAGAATGGGCACATTTCCAATCGGTCGGGTTTTGCGCGACGGCGATCACTTTCACAAGAACGTTATCGTCGCCGACAGGGGGCACAGGGTGGTCCTTGACCGCGACGGTCTTGTCCTGATCGATAAGTTATAAGACATGAAAATGTACGAAAATAGCCGCTAGTCACCTCCTGGACAAGCAGGGCCTTCATAGTCTGGGGGATGGTCGCCATGTTACACCGCGGAAAGGAGACGAGGATAGACGAGATTCAATATCGGACTGTAGCTGCTAAGTAGCGGGCTGCGGGTACGAAAGATAAAGGTGGCATTCCGATTCCGAGCTTTTATACCCAACGGTGTGGGGCAATTCTATAGGATGAAGCGCAACATCAATAATCACGGTGAGTGGTCGAGAACTGGAGCTTTGTCAGGCTCACATCCGCACGCCGACTGCCGAGTGACCGGACTAACTCCTATAACTCCTAAGGCCTAATCGATAGTACGTGGGCCACGGAGCTTTTGTCTTACTCATGCTGCGTAAAATTCTGCCTGCACAAGACCCAGGAACGCAGCGGATATCTGGTCGAGAAACCCGACAAGTAAACATTGCACATCGACGAATAGGAAATCAAAAGATAAACTTCAAGATCAGATCGAGCTGTGGAGGCCAAAATGGACAATCAGGGGATTGAACCCTGGACCTCACGCAAGTGCACCATGCGAAGCGTGCGCGCTACCACTGTGCCAATTGCCCATAAATCATTGACCTCTCGTGCAGATAAAGTTTGACATCCCACGATCCACCCGGTGGACAGCAGCTGTCTGCTCCCAAGTCTTCCGTCGCGACCTCTAACCTCGTAACAGGGGAAGACGAGGATGGAGAATTGCCAGCACATCTGTTTTCGAGAGGTGTGGCGCGTTTCATTGCGGCATTGTCCCGGAGACTCTTCGTGACATTCCTTCTTCGTATACTGGTCCCCTCCACCGGAATGTTGTTGAGCAGGTACCTCACAAATAACATATTCCAAATGTAAGGACATGGTCTCGTAGCCAGAATCGATAACCAAAAAATGACACTACTTCGAGAGCAATCTGTTCAGTCGTTATGGAGCTAAAAATCGAACAGCAGAAATCTTCAAATACTGGTCATGCAATAGTACCTCCGCGTCAGCCTACCGTCTTCCGCTGCTCGGACACCCACTTCCAATGGCGCATATGCGCTAGGGAGCAAGCGCCCCGTCGGAGATCGTCAAACAGAAGCTCGTCGTCAAACTGCGGCTTCCACTCGACTGTCTCCTGCGAGCCCTCTGTCTTGATCCTGATATTCCATGTTGATGCCCAGGACGTAAATGTTGTCTGAACCTTGTCGAGGGATTCACATTGCATGGACTGCAACATGGTTAGCCATGTTCCTGCAATGAAGAAAGGAAGATGTACCTCGACATCTGTGCCCACCTGCCACGGGAGGTTAGTGATGTATTTCTCAGATGAAAACAAAACACTTCACCTTTCGGAATAATGTGAACCGAGCCGACAGGCTTCCACAGAATTTTCCAATATGGTTCACTTCGATAGGCCCAACCTGACTCCCCGTCTGTTGCAATACCGTAGCACAGCAGTGCTGCTTGAATAAGGACAACTTCTGTGAGACCAACGGCAACACTCGGGATCTGGCCTGCGAACGGTATGCAGGAGTTTCTTGGATATCGACCAATATTAGACTGAATGGAAATCCGTCATCTACAATTGCTGAGCACAAATTCCGCTCTGCATCCGTGGCCGTCTGCGTGAATGCCACCTCTACGGATAGAGCACAGGCATAATTGATGAGAATGTGGAGATCAGGAGCAAGGACACCGTATTCCCCGTCTGGTGAGGATTGCATGACCGCACACTTAGGATAGATGGTAACCTCCCGTCTGGTGTGACCCTCAGTAAGTTTGGCCTCCAGGGCATGATGAACAGGGCTCGGCGGGTAGTAAGCTGCGCAAATGTCTTTGCGAGGAAAATAGGCATATCTGTGTACTTTGGGTTGGCACACCTGTTTTCGAGAGGATGGCGGCAGTCGAAAGTCCTTTGCTTCACGCGGTGGCAGAGACTCTGAGATTCGCACGTGACTCGTGTCTGTCAGTGGCGCCGGCAACGCATACCCACCAGGGCCACCACTCATCGCGCTGCGCAGCGAGCACCTCCACCATGGCTCCTCTCCACAGGACTGCCCTCTTACTCTGGACACTATTCTTCTCCTTCACTCTCATTGCTGCTCAGGAACCACAGTCTGCAATTTCTTACTTCGATAACCTTCCTGCTCGTCTGTTCTTCTTCGATGACACCGCCGTGCGTTTCCCACATATCGTCTTGCGCATTTGTCTGACCACAGCATAGTCTGTCGTATATCATGATGTTGTCGAGGGTAACTTGCATGTGTCCCAGGATGAGGGAAAATCCTGGGTTCTCGCGTCGGGCATTCCTACCGGACAGGTGACAATGGTCATAGAGCATCCATTCGATAACCACATCGTGAGTTGTATATATGCGTTGTATCTTTAGCAGCATTGACGGCTATTCCCACATACAGGCCTTTGCTCTTACTAGAGGCACTACCCACTATCAAACCGAGGACCGAGGCAAGACTTGGCGCCCGTTCACTATGCCTATCCCGCCCGCTATGGTGGGAAAACCTCTGTCGTTCCATTCCGACCCCACAAAGTATGGTTATATTTTATACCAAGGTACTCAGTGCGACAAGTCCAGTGGTTGGGGCGCCGTCTGCCATGACGAGGTGAGCTATATGGCCGCTACGGGTGCTACGATTTCTTCGCGCGTATATCTGCAACCACTGTGAAGAGACACTCTTTCACAGACGTTGTCGTATTCATATCGGGATCCTTATTATGGGCATTCATCGCCCACGATGAATCTCCGTGAGACATCCTCAGGGGCCGTAGTTGCATTCAGGGGTAGATGGCCATGTCCTCTGCTTCCATAGAGGTCCGACATCGCTTGCATATTGTGTCATTCATGGTCCCGGTCCCATCCAGCGCGCTAATTGCGCGTCTGTCCATTATGGCAGTCGCAAGTGTGCATTGGACGACCGGTCGCACGTCGTCCTCACGAAGTCATTGAACTTCACATTCTGAAATATGGCTGTGCATCTGGACCTGTTCTATTTGACTGACATTGGCGTTTAGACATATTACACGAAAGACGCTTTTGGCGACGACCCACAGCTCCTCCTATCCGAGACTTCGCGGTGTCAGTTTGCGCACAGCAGTGCTGACTTCAAACATGACGCGCATCCCGACCTGATTTATTGCGTTGCGTTCGATTCCACGACGACGACAGGCGGACACGCGTTGTCATCAAGTCGGCTGTTCTCATCGACAGACTTCTTCGGCAAGGACATTAGAGTCGAGGAACTCGGTATCGGAAAGAACGCCCGGGGTGTACTGGCCTTCGCTATCGTGTCGAAATTCGCGGTGGTCGCGTTGAAGGACATGTCGCCGGGGAACAACGGCGAGATGCTACTGTACGTGTCGGTGGACACGCGGAACTGGGCCAAGGCGCAGTTCCCGCACGCGTCTTCCGCGCGCCTCAGGGAGAACGCGTACACAATCGTTGAGTCGACCACGCATTCTCTTGCGGTGGACGTTCTGCTCCAAGATCAGAGCACGGTCGGAACACTGTTCGTCAGCAACTCGAACGGGACGTTCTTTGTAGAGAGCCTGAAGGACACGAACCGGAACGAGATGGGCTATGTCGACTATGAGAACCTGTACGGCGTTGATGGTGTCGGACTCGCCAACGTAGTTGCGAATGCTGAAGAAGTTGAAGGTAGACACGCGCCGAAACAGCTACAAACCAAGATCACTTTCGATGACGGTATGTTGTCATTCCTCCCTGCTGTAGTTGGCAGTCACTTGACTTGTTATTGGATAGGTCGGACATGGTCACGTCTTACGCCTCCGACACACGATAGCGAGGGTAAACGTATTTCGTGCAATCCTCGTGACGAGGACTGCTCTCTCCACTTGCATTCAGTCACCTTGCCTCATAATTTTGGCCGTGTCTTCTCGTCGCCTGCACCTGGCTTCGTGATGGGCGTCGGCTCGATCGGCTCTTACTTGCAGCCTTACGACGAGTGTGACACATTTTTGAGCACAGACGCCGGTATACATTGGCAGATGGTGCGTATGGATGCTCACAAGTACGAGTTCGGTGACCAGGGCAGTATCATGGTGGTCGTCAACGACGAAGAGGGCGTGGATAGCGTGAGGTATTCAAGTGATCTCGGGCAGACCTGGTACGTGGTCATGACTTAAGTTAATGATCCTTCAGAGAATGATGATGGATTTACAGGAAAAGTTTCAACTACGGTGTCAAGCTTCGCGCACGAGTGCTCACTACCGTTCCGGACTCGACGTCGCAGAAGTTCATGATTGTGGGTCAGATTGCGAAGAAAGACCAGGTGGCCGGGAAAGGTCGCTATGCCGTTGTCTTCCTCGACTTCGCTCCCATGCGCACACGGAAATGCACCGACGACGACTTTGAGCGTTTCTATGTCCGCAGCATGAACCATGAGTGTCTGATGGGTCACAAGGTATGTCCATGCGCGATGCGCGAATATACTGCAAGCACTGCTTACCATGGTCTTCATGTGGTATAGCAATGGTACCGGCGACGCAAGGCGAACGTTGACTGCTATGTTGGCGACAAGTATAACGATCCTGTAGTTCATGAGGAGAATTGCCCATGTGGAGACCAAGATTACGAGTGGTAAGTTGACATTATTCACAAGAGGTGAAGAGTCCGTAGCCAACATTTTTGTTCCTGCAGTGACTACAATTTTGTACGGGTGGGCAGCCAGTGTGTACCCGCAGGCCCAGAGCCTATCCCGGCTGGCGTTTGCACCTCCCCGGGCCAGACATACATGGGATCTTCTGGATATCGCCTCATTCCTGGGAATACATGTGACAGAGACTCGGGCCTGAAAAAGGACGAAAGAACTCAGAAGCCATGTTCTGCCGGTACGACATTGCACATAACTGTGCTAGTTGCATTGCTCATTTTGCTACGCTAGCACAACCTTCCGAAGGGCAGGTCACTCATCAAACCGTAAGTATTTTGTACGTGCCCGTCTGTAGTTTAATGCTGATCAACGGAATGTTGCAGTTCGAGTTCCCTGCACCGGTGGTTCAATTTGCATATTTCAAACAATCAACCGTGAGACCATACATTTTTGTCAATGCTATCAGAAATTGACCAAGTCTCAGACAATTCTTGTTCGTCTAGGCGACAGCAGTATCTGGCAGTCCAGTAATGAAGGCTACACGTGGGAACAGATTCACCCGGAAGAACGTTTCGTCATATTCTACCACCACGGATTCAGCAATGACCGAGCCTACCTTATCACTAACTCTCGCCGCTACTACTATACAACCGACACTGGAAAAACCTGGACTGCCGCTGAAGCACCAGCGGCTCCGAATACCTTTGGCCTCCAAATTCTTCACTTCCACCCATCGAAGTCGGACTACCTTATCTGGTCCGGCGGCTCAGGATGTTCCGGCTTTGGAGATAACTGCCATGTCGAGGCCTACTACAGCCGCGACAACGGGAAGAACTGGAAACTCATTGATACGTACGTGCGAAACTGTGCATGGGCTAGAGATGCGGAACTTCTGGTGGATCCAAACCAAATCATCTGCGAATCATACAAGAACAAAGAGGGCTCTCAACGCTTTTTCCAAATGGATAACCCTCTCGAATTGATCGGTGGACAGGATTTCTTCAACAAGAAGACGAAACTCTTCGATCACGTGGTCGGCTTCGCGAAGTTCGCGGAGTACTTGATCGTAGCAGAGGTCGGTATGCCTGTAACTCCGTGCTTCCTATCAGGCTGATCGCTATTTTCATTTGCAGTATCAGGCACAAAGGCAATCGCTCGACCTCCAGGTATCACTTGATGGCAGAAGCTTCGCTAGCGGTCTGTTCCCTCCCAACATGCGGCCAGACCAACATGTATGTAGCAGTCGCTTTCAAAAGATATTGACTGACAAATCTGCAGGCATACACCATCCTCGAATCCAGCACCAAGTCGGTCTTCCTTCACGTCACCATCTCTGAGCCGCCTAACCCGTGGTGGGGAAACATTCTCAAATCGAACTCGAATGGAACATATTTCGGTCTTTCCATGGAAGGTGTCAATCGTAACGAAGCGGGCTATGTCGATTTCGAGAAGATGATCGGGCTTGATGGCATTGCGCTGATCAATGTGGTATCTAATCCCCATGAAGCGCCCTTGACCGGAAGGAAGGACATCCAGTCCCGTATCACCCACAATGACGGTACGATCCATTGTCAGAACGTTCATACATTTACTCATGGGCGGGTTAGGCGGTACATGGAAGCGTCTCATTCCTCCGATGACGGATTCGCAAGGCAACCCCTATGTTTGCAACCATGTTGTGCGTGGAACGTCTGCGTTCCTCCACTTTTTAAATTCAATCAATTGCATTTCAGAAATGCGCCTTGCATGTCCATGGATATACAGAACGGTACGATGCCCGCGCCACATATAGTACTCCTTCCGTTCCCGGTCTCTTAATGGCCGTCGGGAATGTCGGGGAGTCTCTTGCTGAATACACGGAAAGCGACACGTTCCTCAGCCGCGATGCCGGGTTCACATGGGAGGAGGTACACAAGGATGCGCACCTTTGGGAGTTTGGCGACTCGGGTTCCATCCTTGTCATGGCGAACGATGAGGAACCGACAGATAATGTGCTATTCAGCACGGACGAGGGACTGAATTGGCGTGAATATCAGTTTGGCGGCGAGAAGATCCGCGTGAAGGCCATTGTGACCGTACCCTCGGACACGAGCCGTCGGTTCATCTTGATGGGATACTACCCTCGTTCCCCTGCCGTTTCTGTGGCCGTGCATCTTGACTTTTCTTCGCTGACCTTCAAGAAATGTGAGCTTTCCTGCCCCTTTATCCGTCCTTCATGTCTGATGGTCGATGGGGATAGGTGCGTTGAGTATCGAGGATCCTGGACACGACGACTTCGAGCTATGGAGTCCAAGTGAGGAGCGTTCGGAGCGTTGTTTGTTTGGCCGTCAGGTAAGCCGTGAACCTAGGCGGTAAATTCCTCACGCAAACACATTTTCAGACGCTCTACCACCGCCGCAAACGTGATGCTAACTGTGTCGTCGGAGACCAACCCAAGGCTGAGGAGAAAGTCGTCCATAACTGTGCCTGCGATTGGTCAGATTTCGAGTGGTACGATATACATTGTCCGGCTGCATCTTATGTACTTACTACTCGACCCGCAGCGAATTCAACCACTACAAGAATGAGGAAGGCAAATGCGTGCTCGTGCCGGGTACGCAGTCACTGGCGGACGACGACTCGTGTCGGAACGATGAAGACTTCTGGTTCGGTCGCACCGCGTACCGAAAAATTCCTTACTCGACGTGCGAGGGAGGTATCCGCCCCGACCGCGGTGAACAGCACGTTTGCCCTGGAATCAAGGCGCACAGTGCGTTCTTCTGGGCAATGGTCATATGCGTACCGTTCTTGTTCGCCGCCCTGGCTGGATGGTGGTACTACCGCAAGAGAGAACTGGGGAGCGGGTACGTACGCGTACAACGACGACGTGGATTCCGGTGTCGCTGACTGCGTTATTAGGTCGATTCGGCTTCCTGGCGGGGACACAGGTCCGCGATTCTCAAGAGATTCTGGCATACTTTCCACGCTCGCGTCCGTGCCGTGGTTCGTCGTCGGACTGGCGGGCATCGCATGGGGTTATGTCGCATCTACGTTCGACAACGTCTCGGCTGGTTTCCGGCAGCGCGGTGGATACAGGACTGTGCCAGTCGACGAGGATGCGCAGATTTTGCGGTTCGAGGACGAGGAGTAGATGAGCTGAAAATGTGGCCGGAGGCCTTGTCATTGTCTAATGTGGTCTTGTCGACTGTTGTGTGCGCTATGGACTCGTATTGCTCTATAAAGCCTTGCTTTTTCCATGTAATCTTCTTATTCTGCCCTATTTATGAGGAAAAAATACCACTACAGGCTGCGGTTTGAATTCAATGTTGAGACTCGACTGGCGGATACAGTTGTTACGAGCTGTGGACAACTAAACTCAAGATTGCAAAGCTTCACTTCTCATTCCGAACACACCCGTACGATGTGAATATTTGAATTGTGATGCCGCAAACGTCAATGACCCATGATCGTCTCGCTTGAGGGCGCGCGGTAGGAAACACTCTAAATGCCCAAGATGCCCAATTCATTCAAGCTTGCCTAGGAAGTACAGTTGCCTTTACATGTGTATTGTGCGATAAGCACATACAAAGACTATCCAATCGACGATGCTAGCACTGACACACCATGCATGGGGCTTGTGACCAAAGCTGCTGAACCTACCTGAGAGTGGCCTGTACAGGAAGGGAGAATTTCACCATCCTCTAGTACGATATCTCGGCATTGCAAACGGCAGGCAAGATAGCGGGTATATGACGTGTATGACCTGCTCCCAGAAATCAAAGGCAGTTAGTTGAATGGGTCGAGTAGGCGGCAATTAAGATACAAACAGGTTCGCAAAACTAATACTACAGAAGACGGATACACAGCAATGCGATGACGGAGGACGCACTCCATACCCAACAGAGACTTCAGTCGAGGTTCCCGACACGGGAGTTTTAGTCTATGACACCGAGATGGTCTTCTTTTATTGTGCCGATGGCAAACTACAACAGGTGTCAATAGCGGTAATGGCAAGACATTCTGAACATACAATCTCTGTCGCATCGACACGCGTTCCGACAATCTTTAGCCGGATCCTTGTGTTCTTCTCGATGATCTATGTGACAATCCTAAGCTTGAGCGATGCGAAGGATCAAAAGTCGTACACACTTGTTCGTCCGACGCGAATGATGGTGGATTCGAGTTCGGATCAAATTTCATGTCTGGATGGATGAGCTGCGGTCACAGTGATTACCACGACAGCAACGGGGCTGAGAAGGGATGTTACTGACCTGATGGGACACGAAAACCGTGAGGGGCCCAACATCTGCAAAGAACCCCATCTGCCCATGCTAATTGAGCAGGCTCTCTCCAGGGAAAAGCACGCGCACGTACCTTGTTGACATTATTTACAACACCATCTACAACTTCGCCCTTGAATGGCTTGAAGACGATGGCACGGTAGCGCGTGATGAACTCGGCCTGTCCACTGCCACTAAGCACCATGCCCTTGCCAATATCGAGGATGGAGACCACGGCGATGATGTAGCCGAATTGTCCAGAACATGTGCCTTCGACGTCCGAGTACAGCTTGGACTCGAGGAATTGGAGCATGCGGGGTCCGAAGTAAGAGGGATGGAGGAGGATTGTATGCGACAGTTCTTTCTAAAATCGGGTGTCAGCTAAGCCAAGTCATGATAGGTCCATCCCTACGATGAAGAACATGACGGACGCCGAACGCAATTGTTCTCTGCACCAGTTGCAAGAGTCGACAACTTGTCCGGACCAGCCTGAGATTCGCCCTGCAGAGGCCACATTGGGCACACCAAACAATAACAAGCAGTAATTTATTTTAACGGCCGGCTAGCTCAGTTGGTTAGAGCGTGGTGCTAATATATCCTGTCAAGATAAATACTCATTACGCCAAGGTCGCCGGTTCGACCCCGGCGTTGGCCATGTTTTTGTCTCGATGATCTACGAGGCATTGTGCTCTATTGAACATCGCGCAATAAGTTCGGTCCCATCTCTTCCTGGAATGTTTTGTTGCAGCATGTGTGGTTTCTGTGTGAGCGGCGTCACATGTTGCAGTTGCGATGTGGGCGCTTGTCTGTTGTCTGCACACCCCGATGTCCTCCAAACGACCACGCGCGACCTCTCCGTACAATTTCACTCTCTCTCCTAGCCCTGAAGCCGAGCCAACACCCAAGGCGGCACGAACCATCCCTCTTCCAACAGACCCGACTTTTTCCTCTGCGCCCCTTTTCTGCACTCTTCCACCCACATGCAACCCGCCACACAACCATCCAACGCCACTTGCCAATACAAGTGAGCTAGAGGCGCACTACGCGACTCATCATGCGCACGTCTGCGAAGAGAGGGGCTGTGGATGTGTGTTTCCAGACGCGAAGTTACTCGAGTTGGTCAGTTCGCCCATCCTCCTGCTCTTTGCGCCGCCGCTGACGACTGACGCTGTCGTTTACTCTCTTAGCACCAAACGGAGTGCCATGATCCGGTGGCGGCGGTGCGCAAAGAACGGGGCGAGAAGATCGTGAGTCACTACGCCTGCCGACTCCCGCTGCTCAGTCGCCACACTCATGATTCCTACTGATCGTGACGAATCTCTACTTCACCGCAACGGCCAGTTCGCATGCCATCAGTCCTCCTGCCCGCGCTCCTTCCTCACGCCCAAGACGCGCAGACTTCATCTGATCCAGGCACATGGATACCCGAAGGAATACTTCTTCGCGGTGACCAACAAGGGCGTCGGCGGCCTTCTGAAACGATGGGGCGAAGGTGCGAGCATGCTCCGCGGCCAGTGGAAGCCGCGCGAGGGCGGCGCGAGTGTAGACGACGGCAGCAGTGGAGACGAGTCTGTAGACGGCGAGGCGCAGGACAGTGCGCGAGCAGGCATGGATTCGGACGGAGACGGCAGCGGGACGGCGATACAGACACAAGACTCTGCGAAGGGAAAGCAGCCGGCGAAGCAGGACGGGAATGCGTTGAATGCGCTCGCGGACAAGCTCGACGCGCTTTCTCTGGTCCCGCCGGCCGTTCGGTTCGGGCGTGGCTCAAAGAAGGGCAGCTTCTCACATCATCGCGGCGGACATGGTCACGAGCACGGGGGAGGTGGTGGACCGAGCGGGATGCAACATCACAAGATCACCGAAATGCATGAAGTCATGCCAGAATCTACGCAATCGGCTGTGGAAGCGCAGGAGACACGGGCGCTAGGAGCAAGTAATCCGAGAGGGCGCGGGCGTGTTGCGCGAGGTATACCGCCTCCTCGAGCAGGCGCGATTCGAATGGGTATGAATTTCTCCATGGCGAGAGGACGTGGAGGGAGGGCAGGAATGCGAGGTAATATGTTTTCAAGCAGCAGGGCTTAGGTGGTGCAGGGAGAGGGCGCGGAGGGTTCAACGGACGAGGGGAGAGAGGCGGCGTTGCGTAAGAGGAACGTCGGGATTCCTGAGCCTGAGCGACGGGGCATGGTGGATTGGAGATGATTGGACATGCGTGCCGATTGAATGGTGCGTTCGATGGAGATGGTGCGTGCACGATCTTACACCAACATCATTGCCATCAGTCTGACGTCGTGAATTCGAAGACAAGGGGCCTTGTGCTTGCCCGTACACTGTTGTGTATGCCTTGATAGGAAGCTGATGACTAGCATAACCTGTGGAAGAAGTGATTCGTCCAGATGTACGTTTTGGTCGATCTCTGCGATATACACTGATACGGATTGCTGTAATCGCGGAGTCGGCCCATGTCGGCCGCAAGAAGTACCGCCTTCGTTGTTCGAGAGAAATCCCCGAGCAGTCCAGACATGGTTGGCGGGCTCAATGAGAGCAAGGCTCGACATACGAATTCTCACCTGGATCCTGATTGATGAATATGCATGCGTTCGTTTTTGTCGATCCGATGGCTGACCTTGAGCGTCCTAGACATCATAGATCGATTTCCGCATGCAGGGTATGAATTCACATGGTAAGCACTGGTTTGAATAGACTGTCCGAGGATCAATATGAGCTCATGCTATCTCTTTCGTAGCTATATTACAAACTGTACTGGACTTTGGTTTGAAGTGGATGGGATCACCGACGTGCGGTTCAAGCGACCGCTCCTGCTGAGGTCTGTTGACTTCATTTGACAGTGCATTCTAGGGGCATTGGAGAGCACGCGGGACCGATATACCCGCGGCGAGGCTCATGCTTACCGACGTTGATAGAACGGGGCCTCTACTACTCCCTTGAGTGTAGTCTGGCGGTAAGTAATTACCCTTCTCTGTCGGCTACTGACAGGCAGTGACAGCGCTCATAGTTGGGTCGCGGCTTCCGGGTCGGTATGTCAGGCACTAGACTCTACCCTGCACCAGATAACGGGTTTACGGACAAGTTCGGGATGATCTAATACACTGCCGACTCGCTGGTGCAGGCGTTGGACGGGCTAGCTGCTTTGGCAAGTTGGCGATGTCTACAGGCATGGCCTAGCTGGAGATTGTACGTCCTGCGGCGTCTTCGGCGAATGGAAAGTGCATGTCACGGTCCATCCAGGTATGTCGAGACTCTTTCGTTGCATCACGGTGAACTGACGGGTTTATGCACAGGTGGCCGACAAAGGCACAAATGACCCCATGCAATGATGAGCGGGTGCTTCGATTGGCCTCAAGGCTCGGAAGATTCAACAACCATGCGTAGCGAACATCAGGTCAGCCATCTTCCCCAAATGACGTCTTGTCAGAATTTCTACCGGAAGAAAGGAAGGACATCGAATTTTCAGCAGCATCGCAGTTTGCGTGGCCGGGCTCCGCGGTCCAGGAATTGCGGGCCACCGGTCGCGCACTTCTAACCGGACCCCCTCGAGGCTGGCACGTTTTATGACCGACCTGATGATCAAGTCCACACCTGGTGAAATGCGATGGAAGCCATGGTTGATATGCAAATTGGACATATTTCGGCCGAGCGATTTGTCGAGGAGAGTGCTTACGGCAACTAGAAAGCGAGCTCGAGGCGGCCGCACTGCGGGGGCGAGCCGCTGATCAAGCGGTGCCACATGCGTCTCGTGATCACTGATCACGGAAGCAAATCTCAGCTCCCATGTCCACGTGCGGATCAACATCTTGTCTCCCGATCTGGTCAGGGCGGACCGAGACAGAGGTACACATCCGCAATAGGCAGCTCGCTTATCTGACAAATTAATTGTACAGGTAATCGAACCCACCCACTCTCCAAATATTCTGATCGTCTCTGCACGCACCTCCCTCCATCGTCTGCACCCAGTCGCCACATCTTGTCTCGCTCATCAGACAGTTGCTAGTCAGGCATTTTTTGCGCGCCCCGCCGTAGCGCGCCAAGCATCCGCTAATCAACGCAAGTCGAGGCGTGCGGTACACCCGTCCCAGGAGTAGGCAATCCACTCTCGACATTTTCACGCACATGCTGCCATATCAACCCGGTACGTAGTGATGCTCCCCCATAATCTTCTGACCTTGACGTTCAGAACACAAGTACACGGTTCCAGAATCATGCAATATTGACGTCTTCACAGTCAGGGATTATATACCAAGTGCCGTCAATACGCCCGGCACCTGGCTAGCACCGGCCGAGACATAGCAATCAGAACTTCCCGCGCGCAGCATGGGTCCACTGTCATACACACTACAGACAGCTTAGAAGTTTGCCGACTTCCGCGATACAGGTCAGTGTGACCTAGAACTGACCAGAATGGTGTAAGTACTTATGGTGTGCCTTGCTCTCTCACACTAAGGACGGCTTAGGATGGCCCATAGTCAAACATATCATCGCGCCGCGCTAGTAACTGATGCCAGAGACATTGAACTCGCGGGAGCCTCGATGCCGCCCAGAACATGCTCCATGTTGCGGAAGTTGTGATAGTAATCGTTGATTGCGAGAAGAAGTGTGGACAGCAAACTGTCCGCTGCTGTCCGATACTGAGCCTCCTGCTACAGTTGAGACGTATCCGATACAATCTTGTCTTCGGAGCGCCGATACGCTCAATCATCAAACAGGATTCTGCGTCCAGCATCGGGCATCTTCAAAATGTCCGTCGGTGCGTCGGAAGTCGTATCTACGGAGCCTGCTAGTGGCGCTCAATGTGTCCTTACAGTGTCAGTCGATTCGGATCCCTCTTTGCGGTCTGCATCGCCAAATTGCAGACCCACAATCTTCCGCAGTTGGGCCTCCACAAGCTAACCGCAGAAATCTTGAGATATCAGCTATCATTTCTATGATATGAACGGAAGATCCTCAAGCGATCGATCATACAAGTCCGTGGCGGCTATTTCCAAGATTTTACCGGGCCAGGCATGAGGCGATCAAGGGTTCGATTTTTCCACCGTTCGCACGTTTACGGCAGAGAAGCATTCATGAGAGGCTAAGCCTCTCGTTAGCGGCAGAGTCTCTGCAATAAAACCAAGCCATGGCTCAGAGCATCCCCTCAGTTGATCTATCGGTCCAACTCGGATACCCTGCAAATAGTGTATCATCATACTGTACCTCCCCATCCTCAACATGTCGTCGTCGCCAGTCTTCCGCACTTCACACCTACCGCAAACACCGCTTTACCAACGTTTCGATGAGCGCACGTCTTTCGAGGAGCGGGTTGCGATGTCTTACCGAAGAGCTCGGGCGATCGCGAAGGAATACGGTATGTACCTCCAGGACTCGGTCTCCCTGATGCTAAACCCGTCACAGCACTCACTGCGCACGACACACTGCATCTTACTCCCAAGTTCTGGGAGCTCCATACCGACAACATCCATGCGCTCGACTCGGGTGCGATAACGTTGCTCACCATTCAATACAATCTAGCTGCCGGAACTCTCGCACCCTTCGCGGAGAAGCGCCCAGAGTTGCGGCCATTGATGGATCGTATTATGCGGTTTGATGTGTCGTAAGTAGACAATTGCGTCGCGCTGGATAGAGATTAACAACTGTATT